CGCCTTCAACTTATTGTAAATAATATCATTTGTTAAAAAAATAAAATAAAAAAAATAGAAAGAAACAAAAATTAGATAATATCGTTTGTTAAAAATAAAAATAAAAACAAAATAAAGAAAGTGGAAAGAAACAAAAATTCTTTACTGGACACTGCTTGACTTATTATGTATTGAGTTATTCAAAATTGATTTTATTGGGTTATAAACACTATAATCGAAATCATTTATTTTCTTTAAACAATTTTAAGATTACTTTTGCAAAAATTCATTCAATTTGAAGTATGATGTTATTTGCTACCATGATTCAATTCGTTAAACACACATGGATGGCTAAACGGCTTCCATATTTAATGATTTTTTTCTTCTAAACATAATCTTCAATAATAATAAAGAAAATGAATGATCTGATTATAATTTTTGAATGGTGAAATGATAAATGATATCGTCACTGTGAGAGGAAAAATAATGGGTTTATTTCTAAGAATATGTATGTGTAACTGTGTTTGCTTGCTGGGTTTGGCGTATTATTAAAAGGGTAATGTTAATGAAACTAAATTTTTAAACCAAATTTTGTAAACTAAATTATATGGTTGTTGATTATTGGATTATTACTTAAGTGTTGATTAACATGCTTATTTCCTATTTAGTGACACATCATTTGGTTTACAAATTTAGTTATAAATTTAAGGAGAAATTAGGTTCACATCCTTCTTTTTACTACTCCATTGATTAAAATCCATTCATTTTCAATTTTTGATCATGGTCTTTGGGTATTAATAACATCATTAATTATTTGAATAATAAAATATTTTTATTTTTAAATATATTCCTTTAGTGTTAAAAATGTTACAATTAGTATGTTTATATCTATGGCTAAATTTTTTATCATATATTTTTATTTTTAGTTTGTACCAAATTTTTTTTTTCATTTTTTATTAGTTTCTTTTTGTACCCATATTTTTTAAAGTTTTATTTGTGTTTGTACCCATGTGTAGTCACGTGACATTGTATATGTAATCAATGATAGAAAAATTACATACGGTATATTTATGTTTTATGCCTAAACTTTGTATCATATATTTATATTTTTAGTTTGTACCCACCTTTAATTTGCAACATTTTTTAAAATTTTTAGTATTTTCTTTTTAGTTTTATTTTGTACCCATGTATTAATTTCTTTTAGCGCCTATGTTTTTCAAAAATTCATTTGTACTCATATTTTTTTAATCTTTTATTTGTACCCTAATTTATTTATAATGTACCCATTCTTCTTTATTATTGTACCACTTTGTTATATGTGAAATGTACCAATTTTTTTAAACACTATGGATACATTCTTTTGCCATTTATTATTTCTTATTTCTTATTTTTACATAGTTTTTATCCATTTATTCAATCAAAATGTTTGAATTTTTTTATTGTAACCATTTCTAATAGTATTATAATGAGGTATTTTAAATTTATAGGATTATAAATCTCATAAAATATCAAACAATTAATGTCAAAACTATAAAAATATAAATATTAATTATAATATTATGAGGTGTACAAAGTGAATTTGATCAAACTTTGAATACTATTAAGGTTTTAGTCAAAGAATGTTAAGGATTAAGGACCGCATCCAAAGTATCCCTAAATTTAATCTCTCTAACATTATTCTTATTAAAATATGACCAGCTAGGTATACAAAAATTATAAATGTTTGATGTGGGGAAGAAGATAAGGTGGTGCAACCAGTGATAATGCAAAGTTAAAAAATCCCCACCCAACAGCAAGATCTCTCTTCTTTAGATTCTTTTTATCCAATCGAACTTCTTACACAGAAGATGTCTCTTTATTCATGTCTTATGCCAAAAACTTTTATTTTATTGTATTAATTAATGCGGGATAGAGATTTCATCTCATCTGCTACAGTATATAGTTGTATTCACCTATATATATACTTATATATTGAACTTTTGAACAATATTTATTGTATTTTTATTATAGAAAGGTATATATCTTGACGAAATCAATTCTATGTTCTTAATTATTCTTCTGTTTTATTCGATCGCAACGTAATGGTGAAGGGAGGTCTAGGGTTTAGGAAGTGAGGCAGATTAATCTAAAGCATAAAAGGTTAATGATTATGGTATATATATATGTCGTGCTCCTTGAGTAAATGGTATCCAGCAAGCTCCTAACTAGCTAGTTCATTGCCAAATTTAGTTGAACCCATTTTTAACTTAGAGTTTCATCAGGTTCTCATGGTTCTACTGATCAGTCAGTTTCATTTAGTTCCTACTCTTCCTAATATATCCTTGTCGGTAATATGATTATCCATCGCAGTCATATGTGGTATTGGCACTAACCTGGAATGCGCAGCTAAACTTCCTAACATCCCGTCTAGATGGGTTAACCCACCCGAATTTTGGTGGCCGAGTCCGTCCAACTGCATTGTTGACATAGATATAGATGTACTGAAACAATCTTTGTTATTTTTTGTACTCTAAACTAGAAAAAGTTAATACATGTGTGTTTAAGTTACCTCAATATACATCTCTCAAATGAGTGAAGCTCTGAAAGTGTATTTTTGAAAGAAGATGTCTTGCTATAAAATCATTTGGTAATATATCAGAGATGTTAATTCATGTTTTGAATTTAACAATATATGTACGTGCCCCATGTCACTCAATATTTGTTGTCCACATGTTAGACTTAAATCATATCACACATGAGAACTAGTGTGTTTAGAACGTAAATTTAACGTCAATATATTGAGAAACATTCTATATATATATATGCTTGTAAAAAATTACGTTGATTCTTATATTGCGAATTAGTTTCACGGTCAACCATAAGCTTATTTTAAATACAATGGAATGTTAACATGCATTCGATTGTTAAAAAGAGCATTATTTACTGTATGACATAATTAAAAGGGTAAATAATATGTTTTACATTCGACTTGATGATGATCACAAGCCGCAGGCCGCATGATAATTATATATATTGTTCGTAATAGCAATTCCAGCACATGATCAGGAGGGTAGGCACCAGAAAACCTGATCCATCTCGAAACGCGTTCCCAAGCAATAAGAGAAGAGAAGATGAGTTTTATTAGGCTGTACTACCACCATACAATAAAATACAAACCCTAGCTAAATCTTATCATTATATCATATCATATCACATATGTGGAGCCAAAACCCTAAATATTTACTAGCTACATTATCTAGGACTCTCCGATTGGACCATTGACACAGGCAGCAGGCCCACACTCACATCCCCGGCTGATCAACGGCATCGTATTCCCACCGCCAGCCAGTAAAAGAAAGGAATGTATCTGTCATTTATGAGACAGCGGGGGAGGGGTTCTGGTGAGATTTCTGACACCTGTCATGTGATTGTGGGGGCTTTGGCCTTGAAAAAAAAAAGGACTGGGATCACCTCCGGATCCCTCCTGCTGAGCAAACTGTGCAAAACATCACAACCTTTCATTTTCATCTTGTCTTGTTTTGCATGAGAATTTTTCACTATTTAAATTTATTTCTGGCCACAAGATCAAAAATAGAAGGATATGATGTTTTGGCTCAGCAGGGGGATCCAGAGGTGATCCCAGTCCTAAAAAAAGTGAATTTTTTAGGCAAAGTCAGACCATCACAGTTGACGGTTCCACTCAAATGGTGTTTTTCTGTATAATAAACAAACACTTTCAGAAAAAACACTTTCACAAACACTTCCAGTAAAAACACTTTCACAAACACTTTCAAACAGTTGGTAGATCTGAACCCTTTATTTTTCTTTCATTACATTCACTACCTGTACATTTGTGTGTTACTATTAACGCTTCTCTTTTGGTGTAAATATCTAGATTTACGGTGAGCATCACTGAAATTAAAATGACCATCTTCTGCATTTGATTAGGGTTTTTGGTCATGGTCAATTCGTACACTGTGTAAGTGCTAGGTGGGGCCCACTTGTTAATCTAAGGGTCCAGATGGAAATGATGGACAGCATGCTCCACTGTGATGCTCTTCCAAATCTAGGAAGCAATAATCAGGTATGAACCTTTTAACTTTTTTATCTCCATCCCGAAAGAAGAGGTTGTTTCCCAACAAAGAAAGAAACCAAAAATCAAGGCAAGGAAGAAAAAGATCTAACAGCTTTGGTTATTTTAAAAGATTGACCACACAATTCCAAGAGCATATATGTGATTATTCGGGACGTTAATTTCCGGTATTTCGTGTGGATGTCAACACTAGTTACTCAACAACACTATTACAGTTTTTCGTTTAAATTTGAAGTTTTAACTCGAACATTTAAACCTAAAATATGAACTTCTAAGGTTATTTATACCTTCAAACAACAATTAACCGAGGACTAGATAAAACTTTGAAGGGAAAGTATTGATGAAAAGTGAGTGTCAATCAAATTTAAGTTGCAACTTTCACCTTAGATATAACATGTTGGTCGAGAAGCCTAGAATAATTGAAAAAGTTTTTAAAGAAAAAGTTTTTGGAAACCTAGTAAAAATATAAGTTAATTTTGGAAAAACACTTGAAATCCTTCTTACAAGAAGCGCGCCAATTATTTCAAGTGCTTTTAGAACCAAAAACATTTTTTATAAGGATAACGTTAGGGAGACCAAATTTTTTAAACCAAATGATGTGTCACCAATAAGAAACAAGTACGTTAATCAACACTTAATCAATCGTCCAATCATCTACAACTATATCATTTGGTTTACGAATTTGCTTTAAATTTTTTTATCTCCCTAACATTACTCTTTTTATAAAACGCTTTCAGTTATTTAATAGTACTTTCAGACGACCTCTAATTCCATAGTTAATAAAGAGGCGGGATGAGTTAAATTTTTTTATGGCACATATATATATGGTTTATAATTAAGTGCAGTAAGAACGACACTTCGCCATGTAAGTCAATAAATAATATAAATGTATTTTATCGAGTACAAAATATTGATAAAACATCAATTTGAAGTAAATGAACCTAAAATTGGAGTCTCTATATATTCTTCCAAGGGGACTGGGGGTCTGATCTCAATATTATCACTATTTAATTCACTCGTTTCCTTCGGCTCCTCTTCTCTTACCTTTGTGTATTTCTCTCCTTCGCTACTCTACTGCAAATTTTCTGATAAAACTCCACTAGCTCTTCTATCTTTCCCATCCCTCTGCATCCAGCAGTACTATTTTCCATCACTTCTCAGTCTTCAAACCCTACTTCCCCTTGCTGTTCTCTTTTCTTCTCAGACACTTTAAATTTTATTTTTCTTGCCAATTTATAATATAAATAAAATTATAGGTACAATCTTAGCTATATACGTAGCAAGTATATACATAGCAATGGATATTGGCCAGTACAAATCAGAGGAGCAGATGGAGATGATGATGATGATGCAAATGGAAAAAATATCCGAGCTCTGCGGTGCCTACAACGACGTTGTTTCCGACCTGCCGCAGTCCGATCTCAATTTCTCCTCCACCACAACTAGTCCCAATAGTATCAGTGCCACCATGTCTCATTACACTACAGACCAAAACCCACATAACAATAGTATCCATTCACCAAACTCAAACTCACAATCCTTCCTAAACCTTCCAACAATCCCATCTACCATTTCATTCACCAACACAAACCCTACCGAGCAAACATTGTTTTCAACACCGTCACAAAAACGTGCTTCGATGGCAGCCATGAGGGAGATGATATTCCGGATTGCAGCCATGCAGCCAATCAACATCGACCCGGAATCGGTTAAGCCGCCAAAGAGAAGGAACGTGAAGATTTCTAAGGACCCTCAGAGCGTGGCGGCCCGGCATCGGAGAGAGAGGATTAGTGAGAGGATTAGGATCCTGCAGAGACTTGTCCCGGGCGGGACAAAAATGGACACCGCTTCCATGCTAGATGAGGCCATTCACTATGTCAAGTTTTTGAAGACTCAGGTCCAAACGCTGGAGAGAGCTGCGACTAATAGGCCTACCGGGATTGGATTTCCTGTGGCCATGTCTAGTGGGAGCTACATATCTAACTCTATGGCTAAGGCTTATCAGGCTCCTCCTTCTCATCAGAATGTGCAGCATTTCGGTGATGCTTAATTATTGATTACATAGTCCAACTGATAACGAGACTAATGTTAATTGTTTGATTGTGGGGTTGTAAATTAGGAACATGCATAAAACTATTGTGATCTTCGTCGATCTCATATAGTTTTAAGCTTACTTGTAATCCATGTTCTCTTTTCCAATAATTTAATAATAACATCCCTTGATTTTCATGAAGAAATCAGAATTTGTTTTAAATCTTAATTTTTGAAATTGTCAATTTTTGTTATGTAGTCGAAATTTCATCACTAATGTCTTTAGATATTTAATCATTGTGTTATTAATATTTCATTTTAATCAGTTTAACAATTAAAATTTAAAATCTATAAATTATGATCAATTGAGATGGGGACAAGGATTGTCTGCCCTCCTAGTTGTGGTGCCCTTCTATGCTCTCCTATTTTGTGCGGTCACGGTTAAGCCACGTCAATATTTTATATTAATTTTTTAATGAGATAATAAGACAAAAAATAATAAAAATATAAAATATTGACGTAGCTTAACCGTGACCGCACAAAATAGGAGGGCATGAAAGGGCACCACAACTAGGAGGACAGACAATCCTTATCCTTGAGATGGGGATTCATTACTTTAACATATGGTCCTTGGGAACATACAAAAAATGTACTATAATCTTTAGTGAGTTGACAGGGTTTGGAAACTAGATGTATCTTTGTGTGCCTGGGTGAGAAAAAAATCTAGAGAGACCAAGAAGTAGCAGCTGGATCATGATAACAATAATGTTGTTGCACCCTACGTGTGCAAAGGAATGGTTGGGACAAAATATTGTTGGCACGTCAAAGTTCAATGTTTTTGCATTTTCTTAAGGGACGCGTGTACGAATTAGTATTTTTATTTATTTATTATAAAATAGATTACACCTACACGATTATTAATTATAGGGGTGTGCTATCCACACATTCTTTTACTTCTAACACACCCCTTGTTAATTTCTGTCCGTTGATCTTTTTCAATTCATTCGATCCGACGACCGAAAACCAAAAAGGTGTGGGAGAAGTAAAAAGGGGTGTGTGGATATGATATATCACACCCCTAACTATAATATCTTTGTTAAAAACTAATTTTTGCAGCCATTTAATAGATACATATGTTTTATGATACACTGAACCACAAATTGAGATTATACAAATATAAGTAATTAAAAAATAATTAGTCTAAACTACATATTAATGAAATTCTATTTATCAATCAAAATAGAGTGAAAAGATATTTTTGTTTTCTATCATAACAAAAAAATTAAGAACAGTAACATAATTTTACAAAATAAATTTTTGCCCTTTTTTTTCTTTTCTAAACTTCACCTACAGGTGATTGTATCATGTCTATAAAAAAAAAAAACTTCTCTCCATCTCTCCCCACTCCCACTTCTCTCTCACTCTCTTCCTCTCTCCTTTAATTTTAAAAACAAAATTAAAATATTTCACAGAGATTTTGTGTGTGGGCATGTACTAGTATATATAACACGACAGGACAAAAAAGAGTTGTTTTTTTTGTAATTTCAAAATTGTTCTTGTCTCTCCAAAATTTCAAAAGTAAAAAAAATTACTAAAAAGGAAAAGTAGTGATAATATAGACGATTAGTAAATTTATCATTTTCTAAAGTAAATCTTAATAAATACTAATAACTAAGAAAAGCAACTAACAAATAATATATTATTAAATAAAATTTAAAAAAGAATCAATTGGCACATTTACGCGTGTGATAAGAGATTAATACTATACGTGCGTGACAAGAGATTAATACAAATAAAGCATGAGCATGTCTTCATGACAGTATATTCAAAGTTAGGGAGAGAAGCAAGTAGGATGGGAGGAGGAGGAGAAGGAAAGAGGTAGCAAATGTTATGATTGTGAATTATAATTCGTGATAGTAGAGAATGCATGAGAAAGTCCACGTGAACTTCTCTGAGATAACATAAGGGGGTAGTGGTAGCTTTTACGATTGGGCAAAGTGATAATGTTGTTTTCAGCTATCACCACTTCACCACCCTTCCGCCCTTCCCCTTACCAACACGTGAACTCAATCCCACGTGGCAATCCTTCGTGGCTCTTTACTGCCAGCACAACACAACTCGTTGCACTTCTTGCCTAAGTTCACTCTGGGTCGTTCTTCTAAGTTTTTTTTTTTTTTTTTTTTGAGACTTTAAATGCGATTTCTAACTATAAATATTCTTTTTACTGAAATCATGTTAGTTTTTAATTTTTAATCGAAGTACCTGAAATTAATGCAATAATTATTTCTATATATGTTACTATATTTTTAAATTAAAATTTTAAATTTATAGTTGTTTATATTAATGAGATTTTAAATAAAAAAACCATAATTTGTGGGATTAAAAATATTAAAATATAAATATACTATTATGTGTGTGTGTGTATGTGTGTGTGTGTGTGTATATATATATATAAATATGGGTACATTCATCAATATTAACCTAAAAATTATTGTACCAAAACATGGGTACATTCTTCAAAATCACCAAAAAAAAAAAATATATTAGGCTTAATAACATTAGTAAATTTCTTTGTTTAAACTTTACATGGATACATTCTCAAATCAAAGAAAAAAGAATGTACCCATATAAGTTTAAAAATATATTAGAAAAAAAAATTGAATATATTTTATATAAAAAAAATGGTACATTTTACATATAACAAATTGGTATATTTAAGAATGAGTACATTTTAAGATTAAAAATTTGAAAAATTACATGAATGGGTACATATAATTAGCATGGGTACATTTAGCAAAATTAAAAATGAGTACAAATAAGTAAAAAAAATATGGGTACAAATACAAATAAAACTTTTTAAAATATGGGCACAAAAAGAAATTAATATATGGGTATAGATTAAAATTGAAAAGAAAATTGGTACAAATTAAAAAAGGGTTGCAAATTAAAAATAGGTACAAACTAAAAATAAAAATATATAATAAAAAATTTTGCCATAAATATAAATATATTAATTGTAACATAACACTAAATGAATATATTTAGAAATAAAAAACACTACTACAATATTAGCTTTAGGTGACGGATGATAGTGGTGGATATTAGAAAAATCATGTCGGATAAATTATATCTGACACATCATTTAATTAGTAGCGGATATTAGAAAAATCATGTCGGTTATATCCGACATAAATTCCTGTTAGATATTTAGTGGCGGATATAAAAAAAATATTGTCGGTTATATCCGACAATATTTTTGAATCTTTTTTTATAAATATTTTTGACAGATTCTGGCGGTTTTTAAGTTAATGGTGATGATTATAACCGACAGAAATTGACTATTTTATTATTTTACTTTCTGACGGTTATTATTTTAGTATTTTGGCAGTTATAACCGACATAAATGAAAATTTTATTATTTTAAAATGTTATATTGATTAAAAATAAATAAATAAACACATATTTTAAATATTTTTTTTTCACTCATGACCTTAAAGTCTAATGAATCCAATTCCCAGGAGCCATAATTTTTCTTAGAGAATAATAACAACATACTACAATCTAAAGCTCTATCAATTTTGTAATAAGGATTATGCTCCCTCACAAGCAATTAACAAGATACAAAGAAATTCAAACAATTTTTTTCAATGCATCACAAAGCACATTGTCTGGCACTTAAACACACATGAACATCTGGTGTACTCTATCATGTCTGATTTTATTATTTTAAAATGTTATATTGATTATAAATAAATAAATAAACACATGTTAAATATTTTTTTTTTTGCAATTTTTTACACATGCTATCTCAGAGTATATACAAACATATTTGACGGTTGGATCATTGAAATTAGTTTCGTAGAATGCATATCCTATCCAATTGATAAATTTAACAAACACTTAAGAGTTAATGTTATACTTCCATTAAGTATAAAATAAGATTTATCCTCTAGTGTAAATATTTTAAATTGAAAATCAAATTCATTCATTGCATTCTTATAGGATCGAGAAGTGTAACTGCAAAAAATCATCAAAACCGAGACTAAATAACTGTTAAATTGTGATTTTTCGTTTGTAATCATCGAAAACTTTTGTTCCGTTACCTAATATTTGAATGTTTGTTTTTTGCGATTTTTTACGTATGTGATCTTGGAGTGTGTACAAACAAGTTTGACAGTTGGATCGTTGAAAAACATTTCGTAGAATGCGTATCACATCAAAATGGTAGATTAAACCAACACTTAAGAGTTAATGTTATATTTCCCCATCAAGTATAAAATAAGATTTTGCGGTATCCACTAGTGTAAATATTTTAAATTGAAGATAGAATTTGTTCAATGCATTCTTATAGGGTCGAGGAGTGTAGCTGCAAAAAATCATCAAAATCGGAGCTAAAGTAACCGTTAAATTGTGATTTTTCGTTTATAACCGTTGAAAACTTTTGTTTTGTTACCTAATCTCTTAATGTTTGTTTTTTGTGATTTTTTACGTATGCGATCTCAAAGTGTGTACAAACAAGTTTGACAGTTGGATTGTTGAAAAACACTTCGTAGAATGCGTATCGCATCAAAACGGTAGATTAAACAAACACTTAGAATTAACGTTGTACTTCCATCAAGTATAAAATAAGATTTTGTGGTATCCGCTATTGCAAATATTTTAAATTGAAGATCAAATTTATTCATTACATTCTTATAGGGTCGAGGAGTGTAGCTCTAAAAAATCATTAAAATCGAAGCTAAAATAACCGTTAAATTGTGAATTTTCGTTTATAACCGTTGAAAACTTTTGTTCTGTTACGTAATCTCTGAATGTTTTTTTTTTACAATTTTTTACATATGCGATATTGTAGTATCTACAAACAAGTTTAACGGTTAGATCATGGAAACTAGTTTCGTAGAATGCATATCCTATCAAATTGATAGATTTAACAAACACTTAAGAGTTAATGTTATACTTTCCCATCAAGTATAAAATAAGATTTTGTGGTATCCACTAGTGTAAATATTTTAAATTGAAGATCGAATTTGTTCAATGCATTCTTATAAGATCAAAATGAGGGAATGGATGGGATTGGTGGAGTGCACGAGATGGGCTAAAAGGGTAGGTAGGGATAGGTTTTCAGATTTTCTACTGTAAGGGAAATCAAAATCTATCCGAAGTAGATATTTCTACACTAGTAGAAATTCTCGTCCACGTCACTTGC